TGCCGGGGTCCCCCGCGGCTGCTTCCCTGCAGCTCACCCCTGTTTCTCCGTCAGCTCCCACACGCTGCTCTCCCGTGCCTCCCTGGCGCGCCTGCATGCCGCCGGCTTCCCGGAGATCCTGGACCGCAACCAGGAGCCAGTGGAAATCTCGGAGCCGGCAGACCCGGCGAGTTTCAGCCCGCGGCTGGAGGAAGCTGACCCTCTGCAAGGCAACGAAATAATCCTGCAGTTCCTGGCTTTTGGCAGGTGGGATGGCAGCTCTTTGGTGCCTTCTGTGGGCAGATCCCAGGGGCCTCCTGGGGGAAAGTCCCTTCCCAAAATGCCCCCCAGCCCGCTTCCCTGCTTGAGCATGAGAAGTCCTTGCAAAGGTGCTGCTTTCTCCAGCGCCTGCCGTGGAGGCAAAGCCCCGGAGGGTTTTACGGTGGTGCCCTTGTCCTTTCCAGGCACTCTTAAATCATGTCCCGATTTTTTTTATTGTATCCATTAGCCATGATGTGATGTAAAAGCTAATGCAGGGTTTCTCCATAACTGAATATGGAGTTGAGAAAGTTGGCACCCGTGGGGGTGTCTTTGGCTGGATAAGGCCCCACTTGTGTTTTTTCCGTGGATGGCAGCGTGCTGTGTGAAGGTAAAATGCTGCCTTTGCTGGGCTCTTCCATCACAGCATATGGCGGGAGACAGCTGGAATTATGAAGCTTTTTGGAAAGCCAGTAAACCATATGCCCGCTGTCTTCAGAGGAGTCCAAATACTTGTGATGCTGCCGATCTTCTCCTGTTCTCCTGCCTCTCGGTGCATGCCAAACGCACGAGGAGCTCGTGATGGGGCGGCAGCACTGCGCCACGAGCTAACCTGAACCCCTCTCTCCCTCAAGGGATGCCCGGGATGGCATGGAGGGGACGTGGCCGAGGACCATCTTCCTCACCTTCCAGTTCTACCGTTTCCCACCGGTTACCACGCCGCGGCTGCAGCTGGTCAGCAAGGACGGGGGGCCGGCGGCCGGGCAGGCTGTGCCAGCACAGCTCCTTGTCCGGGTGAACAAGGACGGGACCCTCAGCACTGGTAAGCTCTGGTTTTAGCATCCTCATGCGGCCACTCCTCTTCTGTCAGTTGGGTTTGGGCTTGCCGCCAGGCTGAGGAACAGGCCTGTGTCTGCTTTAATAGCAAACCTCTGCTGGTTTGCGTGGCACATCATGAAAAACATCCAAAATATCCAACATTTGAAGTAAAACACTGGTAAGTGTTGGTGGCGTGACTTGCATGTCGAAGCTGCGGCAGGAGCCAGCAGCCAAGTGCCTTTGAAAAGAAAGGCGACACGTGAGAGTGTGGAGCCCGGAGTGGGCGGCTCTGATCCTCCGAGCTGAATGCCTTGCTGTGGTTCTTTGTGTGTCTCATTCGGCTCTGGTCCCAAGAGGCACCAAGCACTTGGGGCTGGTGAAGCTCCTCCTCCGTGTCGAGCTGTTAATGGAAGTGAGAGGGGGCTCTGTGCAGACCGAGTGTGGGAGGGTGCCAGTCCTGAGGGACCTCAGACCTTGCTAATTGACTGTCGGGTTCATTAAGTGGAAGAGAGTGGGTGTGCAAGCAGGCAGGCTTCTCTGGAGCAGAAGAGCATCCGTCCCCCGGCTGATGTGCCAGTGCCGTTGGAAGCTCCATTTCCATGATGATGCCGCACCGAAAGGGCTGTCAGGCTCTGGAATGGGCTGCTGAGGGAGGTGGTAGAGACCCCGTCCCTGGAGGTATTTAAAAGGAGGGCAGATGAGGTGCTTAGGGACAGGGTTTAGTGGTGGGATGGCAGGGTTAGGGGAACGGTTGGGCTTGATGATCTTAAAGGGCTTTTCCAACCTAAACCATTCTATGGTTTTATGTCTTGCAGGACCGCCGGGCTTGCAGCTGAAGTACATGGTGGATCCCACTTTCCTGCGACCCGGGGAGCAGCGCTGGTTCGTGCGGTACCTGGCCGAGCACAGCCTCCAGATTGACGTCTGGGATGGAGACTCCCTGCTCCTGGTTGGGTCTGCTGCCGTTAAACTGGAGGTACCAGTTAAATTGAAGGTCTTTCCCCTTAAGCCTTCAGGACTGCTAAGGATGAAGGAGAAGGGGGTCTGCTTAGGGTGCAGGAGTGTTGTGGGAGAGCCTGACTTTTCCTTTGGTCCCGTGTTGAGGTGCTGTTGCGTTACCTTCGTGACTTTAGTGATGGAGTTGCTGTCAGCCCCTCTATGTAACCGGGACAGGTATCAGCCTGACAAGCCCTAATCATGGGATTTGTCGTCATCTCCTCAAGAGTGATGGCAAAATGTTGGCTTCCTTCTGCTTCCTGGAACTCCTGCAATATTCTAGGGCTAACCCTCCCCTCAGGACATCCAGAGACATCCTTACCCAGACCCCTTAATGCCCCTTGTTAAGCCCTTGCCCATCCTTGCCTTGTCCCCAGCCCCTGCTGCGCCAGGGCCAGGCGGCCGTCAGGACCCACCACGAGCTGGAGGTGGCCACGACCGAGTACGAGCCAGATGTGACGGTGATGGGCCATGAGGCGCTGCGGCACGGTGCCCTGCGGCCCCTTGGCGTCCGCGTGGCGGTGAGGGGCCGCCTCCACCTCTGCTTGGCCAACGTCGGTAAGAGCCCGCTGCTCACATAGCTGAAAGGCTTGGGGTGCTGGGGCTGGCACCCCACAGAATGTGCCCCTCGCCGGGTACCTCTGGTGCTGGGCTGCGGGCAGGGGCGTGCGGCTCCTCGTTGTGCTTCGGTCCCTTCCGTCTGCTCGGCTGCAAATGCCCGGAAAGGCAGCTGGGAGGCCAGCGGCGCGGGGTCAGCGCCGCGCAGTTAGGTGCTAGCAAACGGCGCGGGGCCATGGGGGAAATGCACAGCACGCCCAGGGCTGTACCCGAAGGAAAACCATGCTTGTAAGAGCATTATTCTTTCCAGAACCCACTGGCTGCTTTTTTTTTATATATTTAATTCCCTGTCCTATAAATGTGCAGTGACTCCAGGTTTTAAAATCTTATCTTCAGAAGAAAGATTAGCTCCATTATAAGATATCTTAAATCGTCGTTTCCATACTTTGCCTGCAAAGGGACGATAAGCTCCTGGGAAGGAGAATCTGAGATTCATAACCCAGGGAGAGGTTTAACTCGCACCCTGCAAAAGAAGAGAGGGAGGGAGGAAGCTGAGATGCTGTACCAGGACAGCAGCCACCCTTTGACTGTGGGTTTTTTCCCCTTGTTCTCCTTTTTTAAATTTCAAAATACTGTTGTTAAAAAGAATATTGAAAAGCTTGGTGCCCCGGCCTGAAGGACAGGGACGGGATTTGTGGGCTGGGTTTAGAGCCTCGTCCGGCTCCGCTTGGCGTAAGCTGTGCGGGAGCGTGGGTGGCAGCAGGAGCGGGGGGACGCAGCGGTGCGCGGCCGTGCTGGTGGCAGCACCGCAGCACGGGGATGGAGAACGCAGAAATGAAAACCAGAGCTGGTGAGGGGCTCGGTGCTGACCCGCTTGGGATGGGGCTGTGCTTTTGGTGCTGCTCGGTCTCTGGGCAGGCGGCTGTGTGGTTGTAGCGGCAGTAGGCTCCGGAGGGAGCGCCCTAGGGCTGGCAGAGTGTTGTTAGCAACCAGATATTTGCTCTTGCGTCTTTAAATTGCCTGTAGAGAGCTGCAGTGAGAATAAAAAATCACACTAGATTTTGTAACAATGAGAAACGGATGGTTTCTGCTCACTCCCCTCTCCACTTG